TAATCCTTTAAATTTAGAAGGACATAGAGGTAAGAGTTTGAGGAAATTTTCTAAAACCTTAATAAACAAATTTCCAACATTTTCTGACGATTCGCTGATATGTTGTAAATGCAGAAGACTATCGAATTCCGATTTTAACGACGAATCTGTCAGTTCCAGTAAAAATTGTGATTCAATTAATTCTATGAGTACAGAAAACTCAAGTAACGATAATAATGAACCTACCGTTCAAAATTCAACCAATTTTTCTGCAGAAAATGATTTATTAGACATTTTGGAAGGTTTGAAAAAAAAATTTCAATCACTTCCATTATATGATCCCGATAGAATTGCGATATTAACGGTTTTACCATCAAATTGGACAATTGAACGAATTTATATGGAATTTAATAAGAGTACTTAATCTGTTAGAACAGCAAAAGATTTGATAAAATTGTACGGCTCTCTTTCGAGACCTACACTGAAAGTTGGAAATGCAGTGCCAGAAGCACATATAAATAAGGTACTAGATTTTTATGAAAACGACGACAATGCAATAGTAGAATACTTCCTGGAATGAAAAATAAAAAATCAATAGTGGTTAATGGGAGAAAAATTCTAAAACAAAAGAGATTAATATTATTCAATTTAGGAGTATTGCACACAAAATTTCGACAAGAAAATAAAGACATTAAGGATGGCATGACAAAAGGGGTCAAGCAACAATTTCATGTTTTTACAGGAATCGAAAATAACACATTTAAAAAATTTTCTGATCATTAAAGAAAGATCTAAAAAAACAGTTTAGAGATATTATTTCGCTTTACCAGTAGAAATACAATTTATGAAGATAAACCTACATATTAGAGAGAAAAATAAGTAAAAGTGGACCATTTTGGGGTTACGTCAAATGTGCATATTTTCTTATAAAATTAATTGTTAAAAAAATATACAGTTTAAAGAAAAACTAAAAAATTAGTTTTTTAATATTGAATTAACGAATTGAATGCAAAAAAGTTTGCTTAAAAAAAACTATTTGTTTTCAAGAAAATTGTTAATTAAATGTTAACTTTTGAAAGTAAACAGTACATAAATTTTCAAAAGCAAACTACAAACAGGAATATTTAAAAATTAACAGAAGGATAATATTTAAATTATTGAAAATTAGGTAAAGAATAAAACTATTTCTAAATAGACAAAAAAAATTCAGCGAAATTTAATATATATTAAATTATATCAAAAAGAAAGCAATATTTTTAACCATATTAACCTATTCATAATGATATTCATTTCTTTTGTTTTTAACCGAATTGCATTGCAAGTAAAAATTTAGGCTATTTTTCATTCTTATTTTTTTTAAAAACGAGTTTAAAAAACAATTTACAAAAAAATACTTTTACAGAACTGTGCAAATGAATTTACTTGATTTTTTTATGAAAAAATCTCAATTTCGAAAAATTGTTGCTTGACCCCTTTTGTCATGCCACCCTTCACATAAAGATCGGGATATCAAAATTTTACGAATTACGACCAGGTAATTGTATTTTAGCTGGAGAAGGCGGTAGTCATGTTGTATGCGTGTGTGTTTTGCACCAAAATTGTAAGCTTATGCTTAATGCAATAAACTTACCAAAATTAACCGAAGATGCCAAATTCCCTTTTCAAACATACCATGACTGCCTGCATTTTCTGCTTTGTGAAGAACCAAAAGATATTTGTCATTATAATAATTGTAAATCATGTGCTGGAACAGAAAAATTGAAAACTTATCTGCTTGATCTTTTACAAGGTTGTGACGTTCCTGAAATTAAGTACAGCTTATGGTGCACAACTGATAGAGCAACTATGCAGACGAAATCATCGAGCAGAGAAGATTTTCTTATAGAACTTGGTAGTAATTTAGAGAAGCTAAAACCGCACAATTTCATAGATAAAAAACAAACGGCATATTTCAACGAACTGAAAAGTACACTGAAAGATGGAGAATTTTTCGTTTTATACGATTTTTCTAAAAATTATGCCTTTCTTGTGCAAGATGCAGCTCAAGCATTCCACTACAACAATAATCAAACTACTGTATACACAGTAGTTTATTATTATTGTAAAGATGGAGAATTATGCCACGAAAATGTTATCATTCTTTCAGATTGCTTAAGTCATGATTCAGTTGCTGTCTACATCTCCAATTCTTCCATAACTGAACATATTAAAAAATCTTATCAAGTAAACAAAATTTTCTATGTCTCTGATAGAGATAATCAGCATTTTAAAAATAAATATAACATGATCGATCTTATGAAGCATCATACAGATTTTGGAATAAAAGCTGAGTGGCACTTTCATGTAACTGCCTATGGAAAAGGCCCTCATGATGGAATAGGAGCTGCTTTGAAAATTCAAGCACGAAGAGCAAGTCTCCAAGCATCATCGCTCAACAGTATTTTAACACCTCACCAGCTTTATGATTGGGCAAGGAATAATATTAAAAACATCATTTTTTTTATTACGATGCTAAACATCACGAAACAATTAAAAAGCGATTAAATTCACGTTTCAAAAATGCACCAGCAGTTCCACAAATCCAAAAAAACACGCTTTTGTTCCTGTGTCAGATACAGAACTCGAAATAAGAGCATATTCCAGTGCTAAAGAGTGCGTCAGCTTTAAATATTAATTTAATATCAATTTCAATCAGTCCTTTTTAGGACTCTTCTTTCACAAAGAGAAGTAAAATAAGTCTCAATCAGTCCTTTTTAGGACCCTTCTTTCACAAAGAGAAGTAAAATAATTTTCAATCAGTCCTTTTTAGGACTCTTCTTTCACAAAGAGAAGTAAAATAAGTCTCAATCAGTCCTTTTTAGGACTCTTCTTTCACAAAGAGAAGTCAAATAATTTTCAATCAGTCCTTTTTAGGACTCTTCTTTCAGAAAGAGAAGTAAAATAAGTTTCAATCAGTCCATTTTAGTACTTTTCTTTGATTCTGTCTTTGGATTCGTATTAATCGACCGTGAAAACCTCCCGAGTAACAATATTCAGCTGATTTCAACAATTTAAAAGAAAATCTTCAGCGATATTAGATCCGCTATTTTAAATCTTTAAATTTTGACCTTGGATTCGTATTCAGCGACCCCTAAAACCTGCGAGTAACAATATTCAGCTGATTTCAACAATTTAAAAAAAATCTTCCGCCATATTGGATCCGCCATTTTGAATTTTTAAATTTTGACCTTGGATTCGTATTTAGCGACCCCAAAAACCCCTGAGTAACAATATTCAGCTGATTTCAACAATTTAAAAGAAAATCTTCTGCCATATTGGATCCGTCATTTTGAATTTTCAAATTCTGACCTTGGATTCGTATTCAGCGACTCCAAAAACCCCCGAGTAACAACATTCAGCCTAGTTTAATTGAATTTATAGAATTTAAAAAATTAGTCCGCCATTTTGGATCTGCCATTTTAAATTTTGGGGTTCAGATCACAAATTACTCCAAATTTGAATTCAGGGAATACAGAAATTTGAAAATTAGCAGTTGTAAATAATTTACATCACAAAATGTTAGAGTTTTTGAAGATTAACATTTTTTTTAAATTTATGTCATATATTTGGCTCTGGTGGTCGCCATTTTGAAAATGCCAAAAATAGCCCATCGGCAATCGATTCTACGTAAAAAATGCTAAATTTTGAGCTATTTAAGATTGCAATTGCTTTAAACCACGAGTGGACACAGTCATTTGCTTTTTCGTATGGAATTACCCATATATATATATGCAATATATATATGCTATATATGCAATATAGCTATTTAAAAAAGGGTCTAGAGTGTTGATTTTTGGGATTGAGTAAATTTATGATGTTATAAAGTTTACGATTATTTCTATTTAACAAGATTGGAAAACTTGAAAATATTTATTTTAGGGATTAAGATTTTGCCGCTGTTACAAGAAAAACTTTATCGCTCATAAATTTATCCAGTCTCAAGAATTCGCTTCTTCAAATATATTATTGTATATAAAAAAAGGAAAAATTGAAAAGAGAAAAGAAGAGAGAGAAAGAGAAAATAAAATGTGAATACTGAGCTGAAAACATAGGTTCGAATTTACAGGATGTAACACACATATTTAAGTTACAATTTTTGTTCTGCAATTTTAAAAAAATATGGAAGAGTTTAAAATTTCAGTCGATTTCAGTGACTTAAAAAAGCTGGAGCACTGTTTCATGTGTGAACCATTTTTTTAGTTTTAGCCGACATATTAGCGCCCGCCATTTTGAAAATATAATTGGTCGATTCAAGGTTATGTACCTGAGGGTTCATGGACACGATATTTTGAGCTTTTGAAAGTATCTACCTGCTTTTTTCCGGTGAAAATACGTCTGAAATAAAATTTTTTTCAGGAAAAATTGTTTATAACTTTTTAACAATTTGGTATAAACAAATTTTAACAGCAGAATCTGAAAGATGAGTAAATTTTACATTAAAAGTGTTATGGGCCAATTTTTTATATGCATTTAAAAAAACGAGGTCCTCAAAGTCAATTGTAATTTTTCGTCCGTCTAATCCTTAATGGGTTTAAAATATATATTATATTTATATAATATATTTCTTATATATAAAATATACGAAATTTTATTAGAATGTGAAAAAATAAAATATGACAAACTTTGTAGTATTGGTTTATTAGGAAATAGGGTGTTTATGAGGAGCGTGCTGAGAGCGCTGTGTGTATATTTGTAGAAAAATAGTTAGAAATGGTTACACTTATAATTACAACGCCCTCTGCACGGACCTCGAAAACTCCCTAAATTATATGGAAATAGATCAACACTATTCTGGGTTTTTTTGACTTTCATGCTCTAAAAAGGCCAAACGTGGTTGGTTGGGTCAGGAAAATAGAAAAGATAGTCTTAAAATAATTTCCTATATATATATATATATATATATATATATATATATATATATATATATATATATATATATATATAAATGTGTATAATTTTAATAAAGCAATATATCTTTGCAGGAATGATTCATTATGAGTTTAAAAGAAAGAAATATTACTGACTTAGAAACAGATGTCAATATTTCATATATAATACTACCGAAAGATGAACTAGAAAATGATCAGAATAAAAGATTCATTCTTATGAAACAGGATATAAACTTCATTGATCTACAAGATTGTGAAAGATATCTTACTACAAAAAAAAATGTCTACGAGAAAAAGTGCATCTCTAGATCGAAAAAATAAGTATTCTACTTTAACAGGAAGTGAATCTAAATTCGGTGGTAGTTCATTAAAGTCACATGTTTGTCGGAACAGGCACCGTTATCCGACTGTTGACAAAAAAAATAGGTTTTCAACAATATGTGGAGCTGATGTGAGAAGAAGTCTGTCATTTAAAGAATGTCCTTTAGTAAATGGTTTGGATTTTAGTCTTGCACCTTGGCGTGGAATAAAATTCGCTTGTTTAAGGGTGCTGCATTTATACTGCAAAGTTTTTGATCAGTTTGAACTCTTTGAGCTGATAGTAAGGTAATTAATTTATAATCATTCGAGAAAAGACTAATAACATTTATTTTTTCAGTACCTCGTATTCAAATATTAATATAATTTTTTTCATAATAGGGGAGAGTGGGGCAAACTGGACCCCCCTAACGGTTTCTTGACTCTTGTGACTAAACAAATCAACCGATTTCATTTTTCGATGGCTTGTTTGAAAGACCATTTAATTGCGCAACTTTTTCCCAGAGACACCTATACTTTATCTTAACCCTTGGGGTTTCTTATTTTTAATATTGCATTTACATAATCTACAATAATAAAAAACATAAAGAATCATGTAAACAATGGTTGTAGTAATGAAAATCATAATACGGGATTGAATTTTAATTAAATAAATATTTTTTTAAATACAAAAAAAAAATAAAAATGTTTGTCATTATCAGAGAAACAATATTAAAGAGTCCAATTCTCATTGCAAGACAATTATTTTTCATTGTAAGTAAATATTTTAATGAAAGAAACATTTTATTTAAAAATAATTTTTATGAAACTTTAATTTAATGGAAATATCCTATGGCCGGTTTGCCCCACCGAAAACGGTCTGGTTTGCCCCACAGGCTAATTGTGAGAATAAATATTTGTCAAAAAGAAACGCTTTGCAAATTCATCAAAGTTTTTGGTGATAAATATTTCTGAGGTGTGTATCTTCAAAACCTAAGACTTAGATTTGCAAACATTACACGATTTCATCAGAATTTCCTTAAGAAAAAATTCGTAAAAGTGTAGAAAAAAACTAAAAAAAAACTTTTGCTCCCTTCGTCGCACAAACGCAAGCTAAAACTGTCAGATTGAAAAAATAAGGTGTACTAAACATGGTTGTTTTAAATTTGTAAACAACACTTTTTCCAATTTCGCCATTTCAGAAATATTGAGAGGGGTCCGGTTTACCCCACTCTCCCCTACTCTACCTACTGGTTACAGGGACGTCTAATAGACGTCCCTTTTGTCCACGAACATCCGGAAAAAATGATAGTAATGTCTTTGAGACATCATCATGAGAACTATGAGATGTCTACAAGACATTTTATGTCTGCTACAAAAGACGTCGAATAGACGCGCAGCTGAAAAATCCTATACAGGATCCTGAAGGCATCCTTTACATTATACTACATAGGATCCTGCCAGGATCCGTTGAAGGATATTAGAACAAGGATTCCATAAAAGTTCCAGTGCAGGAACAATAGCTATCAATGTTAGTATTTTATCAGTCGCAATCCTAGTAACTTTAATTATTCTCGCTGATTGAAACTCAAAAATAAAATATTTCGATTGTACTTTTCAATAAAGAAACTCTCAGCAAAACTGAAAGAGATCTTTTGAGTTTTTACTTTGGATTGATGTTCCAATGTAGTTTAAAATAAGAAGTATTGGGTTAATTAAAGACGGATCCAAACTTCCGTTTGAATGAATTTAGCGTAATCAATACTTATACCTCCAAAGTACTATTTTATGATGCTAAGTAACATTTGACATACACATACTTTACATTTTAATATGTAAGACTCCTAGATCACTACTGCACATAAAAATGTACTACGCATTAAAAAAACTAATCGAAAACTACTGCGCAGAATACACCGTCCTACAAAATTTAACTTTTCTTTTCACACACAAAAAAATCAAACATTTTCGGAAACTAGGACCAAAAAAATACCCGTGTCTGGACGTTTTGCTGGATCAAGTCGTTTGTGGCTTCTGGGGGTGAAAACAACCCTTAAATGAAAAATGACAAGTTATATTTTAAAAATAGATTAAATTTGTCTAAAACTCGTTACTCGGGGGTTTTTGGGGTCGCTGATCACAAATACGATGTCAGTTTTTCAAAATTCAATATGGCGGATCCAAAATGGCGGCTGTCAAAATAAAAAATTGATCGGATTCTCTTGAAACTTGTTACTTGGGGGTTTTTGGGGTCGCTGATCACGAATCCGATGTCGGTTTTTTAAAACTTTAAATGATGGATCCAATATGGCTGTCAACATTTTTAAAAATAGATTCAATTTCTCTGAAACTTGTTACTCGGGGGGTTTTTGGAATCGCTGATTACGAATCTTAAGTAAGATTTTCAAAATTCAAAATGTAGGTTCGAAATGCTGATTACAGGTCTAGAATGAAACTGGAAGATTTAATTGTGTAATTCTTTTTAGTTTTTTGCCATTTTGAATTTTTTAAATCTGACTTAAAATACGTAATCAACGACCCCAAAAAACTCCTGAGTAACGAGTTTCAGGAAAATTGAATCTATTTTTAAAAAAGTTGTCAGTCATATTAAATCCGCCATTTTAAATTTTGAAAAACTGACATGAGATTTGTAATCAGCGACCTCAAAAACCCCCAAGCAACGAGTTTTAGGCAAATTAAATCATTTTTTTAAGTTGTCCGACATATTGGATCCGTCATTTTGAATTATGAAAAACTGACATCAGATTTGTAATCAGCGACCCCAAAAACCCCCAAGTAACAAGTTTCAAGCGAATACGATCAATTTTTTATTTTGACAGCCGCCATATTGGATCCGCCATTTTGAATTTTGAAAAACTGACATCGGATTCGTGATCAGCGACCCCAAAAACCCTTGAGTAACGAGTCTTAGGATAATTGAATCTATTTTTAAAATATAACTTGTCACTTTTCATTTAAGGGTTGTTTTCACCCCCAGAAGCCACAAACGACTTGATCCAGCAAAACGTCCAGACACGGGTTTTTTTTTTTGGTCCTAGTTTTCGAAAATGTTTGATTTTTTTATGTGTGAAAAATCGTGTCGGACGGTGATATTAAAAAATAAATAAATCATTGATAGCTAATGTTCCTGCTCTGTAACCGTACGGTATCCTTGATCCAATATCCTGCAACGGATTCTATGCAGAATATCTAATAGGATCCCTGAAAGAATCATTCAGGGTTCCTAAAATACGTCTCAAAGACGACTTTTGGGCGTTATTTTCACATCCCTTCAGATTTCCTAAAATAGACATTTCTTTTACAATATTTTCTTACTTGTAATATAATAATGTTGTAAGAAATTTATTTTAAATTTAATTCTAGACTGAATCCATTTCAAATCAGACAGGTCGACTTACTTCAAGTTACAGATTTAGATGTCGCTAAAATATGTTATTGTACATGAAAAATAAAGAGATACGTATTTTTTTATTTTTCAAAAAAGATAAATTCAGAGAAGTTACGCACATTTGAACAGCTAAATCTATAACTTGAAGTTAGTCGACCTGCCTGATTTGAAATGGATTCAGTCTTTATGTTCTTCAAATTATGCAGAAGTACTCGAAAACTTTAAGCTTTAAGAATTTGTGTCTGAAGCACCTTAGACGTTGAAAACAGATATGAACTTCAACGAAGTTTACGATCTTACTAGTCAGTGAAATGAATTTAATTGTTAGGAAAATTTAATTAATTTTTATCCTCAGCATTTTTGAAATTCATGTTGAACTTAGAAAATAACATTTCAATTTATAAAATTTTTCTATTTTTAAAATTAGGACAAGCTCTTTCAACTAAACATCAAGTGATCAGCAGCAGAAATTGAAACAGTGAAAGTCTAAATGATATTTTACATAAATTATTAACGTTGTGAAAATTGTACTTGTCGATGCACATCTATTAGGATAAGTTTATATTTTTCCTTAAGGGGATCCCACATATCGACAATGCAGATCAAAAATGGTTAAAAATCTGCAACGACCGTTTCTTGAAAAATATAAGATATTATGATCTATAAATTTTGGAAAGTCATTTTTTATTATAAATACATAGGATGAGTATTTTATTTGTTGTAATTATTAAAAAAATACATTGTTAGAAAATTAAATATGGGCAGTTTCCAAGAGCCCAAACTGCAACGACCTTTTCTTAAAAACAACAAAACAAAATAATTTTTCCACTTAGCTAATATTTTCCAAGAAACGGTCGTTGCAGATTTTTAACCATTTTATATCTGCAATGTCGATAAGTGGGATCCCCTTAAACGAAAAAATTTGTTATAGAGAAATTTTTGGGCTCTAGTGCTAAAATACATATGGGGCAAAATTCCTCAACTGTCCAGGTCAAAAAATGAATTTTCTCTAAACTTTGCTAAAATGTTACTATTATTAGTAGAAGTGTAAATATAAATTTTTTTTGAATTTGATACAATATTTTTTGAGTTATGGAGTTTCAAAATTTTAATTTTTTTGAAAATATCTTTTTTACAATTTAATATAGGGAGAGTAGGGCAAACCGGCCCGGTGGGTAAACCAGTCAGGGGTCAATATCTCCGAAATAGCGAAATTGGAAAAAGTGTTATTTACAAATTTAAAACAACCATGTTTAGTATACCTTATATTTTTGAGTCAATCTGACAGTTTTAGCTTGCGTTTGAGCGACGAAGGGAGCAAAAGTTTTTTTTAGTTTTTTTCTACACTTTTACGAATTTTTCTTAAGGAAATTCCGAGGAAATCGTGTAATATTTCCAAATATTAGGTCTTGGGTTTTGAAGGTACACACCTCAGGAATATTTACCACCAAAAACTTTGATGAATTTGCAAAGGGTTTTTTTTGACAAACATTTATTTTCAAAATGGGCCTATGGGGCAAACCGGACCGTTTTCGGTGGGGCAAATCGGCCATAAGATATTTCTATTGAATTAAAGTTTCATAAAAATTATTTTTTAATAAAATGTTTCTTTCATTAAAATATTTACTTACAATGAAAAATAATTGTCTTCCAATGAGAATTAAACCCTTTAATATTGTTTCTCTGATAATGACAAACATTTTTATTTTTTTTTTTTAAATATTTATTTAATTAAAATTCAATCTCGTATTATTATTTTCATTACTACAACCTTTGTTTACATGATTTTTTATTATTGTAGATTATGTAAATTTAATATTATAAATAAAAAACCAAATAGTCCAGTTTACCCCAGGGGGTGAGGCAAACCGGCCCGTTTGCAAATTTTTTTAAAGTTAAC